GGAACGGCGATCGAAGGGAGGTTGCTCCAGTATTTTGAGCCCGAAATAAATGGGAGGGAAGGGAAGGGGACCATCCTTGGAGCAAGGCCATCGATAAATATTTGGTAACACCATACGATTGCAGGTTTAGAGCAAGGTGACACTTGTGATGCGGCTGCGTTTTGTGTGCCTTTCCAGCATGAAAATTCGAGCGTGTCCATATTTAGGTAACTCTTGTCAAAGGTCTCCATCAACTTGGCTTCTCTTGGGTTGATGCAAACTTCTCTCTGATAAGATAAAGACATTCCATTCTCTCGGGTTCTCCCCGTTTGCCCGAGAACAGCCCATTTTCCGTCTCGGTCTATTTTTAGCCTTTTTCTAGAGACGAATACAGCTAGTCCACAATTTACAAGAGTTTGTTTAGTCACCGTTCAAAGTTACAACTGAAGGCACTGAAAAAAAGTGACTTTTGACCGGTTTTTATGACTATTTTTTTAAAAAAAATTTGATTTATATGCCGCCCTTCTCCGGAGACTCAGGGCGGCTTACAATGCGTTAAGCAATAGCCTTCATACTTTTGTATATTTTATACAAAGTCAGCTTATTGCCCCCACAAACTGGGTCCTCAATTTACCTACCTTAGAAAGGATGGAAGGCTGAGTCAACCTTCAGCCTGGTGAGATTCGAACTTACAGTAATTGCAGACAGCTGGTGTTAATCACAATGCTTTTAGTCTGCTGAGCCACCAGGCCCGACAATTGCAGCATCCCCATCACTTACCTTTGCTACCGGTCCGATCGCATGCGCACGCTTCACTCATGTGCTGCCACTTCTGTGCACGCACAGAATGTATTTCATGACATCCAGGTGCAGTGGGCGGAGCCTCCCGCCACCACTGCTACCGGTTTGCCCGAACCGGGGTGAATCGGTAGCAACTCACCACTGATTCCCAGGATCACGTGATTGAAATTTGGGTGTTGGGCAACTGAGTCATGTTTATGATGGTTGCAGTGTCTCGAGCAGTGGTGGGATTCAAATTTTTTTACTACTGGTTCTGTGGGCGTGGCTTGGTGGGCGTTGCAGGAGAAGGCTATTGCAAAATCTCCATTCCCACTCCACTGTGGGGCCAGCCAGAGGTGGTATTTGCCGGTTCTCCAAACTACTCAAAATTTCCGCTACCAGTTCTCCAGAACCTGTCAGAACCTCTGAATTTCACCCCTGGTCTCGGAGTCTTGGCTGTCCATGGCATTCTCAGATGCCTTCACCCATAAACATATACTTACAGACATATCTATATCACATCTGTATCAATGGCGTCAAACGTGGACCTATTTGTCAGGAGACTGGAGGCTAAAACATACGATGAACGGTTGCAGGAACCGGGCGTGGCTAGTCTAGTGAAGAGAAGGACCAGGGGAGACATGAGAACAGTCTTCCAATACTTGAGGGGCTGCCACAGAGAGGAGGAAGGGGGTCAAGCTATTTTCCGAAGGGCAGACAAGGAACAATGGATGGAAACTGATCAAGGAGAGATTCAACCTGGAAATAAGGAGGAATTTTCTGACAGAACAATCAACCATGGAAGAGAAGTTGCCTTCAGAAGTTGAGGGAGCTTCATCCCTGGAGGCTTTCAAGAAGAGGCTGGACTGCCCTCTGTCAGAAATGGTGTAGGGTCTCCTTGGGCAGAGGGCTGGACTGGATGACCTACAAGATCCCTCCCAACTCTGTCAATCTGTAAATAAATAGGTTTATGTTCGAAGCCAATTGCTCATCTGGATCACTTTCACGTCCAGCAAATTGCTGATCAAAGCACGGTGCTTAATGCAAGTTTAATCCATTTTTTAAAATCCTACCTTGGGTGATTGCCATGACGGCTAAATACGGGTAAGCCTGATTTGGCTTACTAGGGTTTGGGGATAGTGTATTTTGTGTGTGTGTGTGTTACAATTACAAAGTTACAATTGAAAGAAGTCACTTCTGACTGTTTTTCACACTTAACGACGGTTGTAATATCCCCATGTTCACCTCATCCAAGATTCAAGTGCCTGACAACTGACTCACATTTATGACCGTTGCAGTATCCCGGGATCACGTGATTTCCCCTTTCGCGACCTGATCAGCGACGTCAATGGGGGAAATGACTGAACGAAGTTAATTTAACAACGGCGTCGATTCGCTTAACAAAGGTGGCGAGAAAAAGTCGTAAAAAACGGGGCGAAACCTCACTTAACCAACGTCTCCCTTAGCAGCAGCAATTTTGGTCCTCAATTGTGGTTGTAAGTGGAGGGCCGCCTGTGTAGGAAGTTACCCTGCTTCGTGTTTGCCTGTAACGAGCGCAAGAAACCTGGCATCTCATTGTACATGAGAAAGCAGGAGGCAGTTGCTATGGAAACCATCTGGGTTGGACCATTATGGAGCATCTCACTGGCCTTTCCAGTCAGCTGCACAAACCAGGGATTGGCGGGGGAGGAGATGGAAGGAGGACCGGTTAGCTGGCGTTTTGATTTCTGGATTGCTTATATTATTGATTTCCTTCTCCCCTGTCCACACGAAGCACATTCCTGTATAATTTTCAGTGCTGCAAGGATACATCCGGCTAGGAGATGCTCGGATCTTGCATCCTCTTCATTCCCCATCCAGCCTTCTTCAGACTTCATCCACCCCAGCAAAATAATTAAGCTACACAGACAAAGCTGTGCTCGGTGTTTCTGCCTGCAGAAAAAGTTCCTGCCCAAACTACTCCTGCTATCTGTCTACTTAATTATTTTTCTTTTCTTCCTCTGCATCTACGTTTTAAGAAATATTTACGGTTGAGCTCTGATGGCAAATGAACGAAAGGTGCGGATAAATTAAAATGCGACGTTTCAGATGGTGTGTTTGTATGGTAAACAAGAAACAAAAGAAAAGAAATATTTATAATGTGACCTTACCAGAGCCAGGTGCAATGAGAATTGAAAAATAAAAACGAAACTACAGTTAAGAGGACACAAAAGCATACACTGGGATTGATTTGCAATCATGGTTTTTAAAAAATGGCTCTTATGCTTTGCAATCAGCCCAACTCTCAGGGATGAAAATGTTCTGTTTGGCCTTTGAACAATTTGTCCCTGACCCATTTTTTGTTCCTATTTTTCTTTCTATTTATCTTTAGTAAAATTTCCAGCAAGCTATTGAGTCTAGGAACAAATAGACTTTTACTTACAATTTTTAGTATCATCCTAATTTCCTTACCCCGTTGTGGGCAGAAGTGACTTTTGCCCGATTTTAAGACATTTCTTGCCACAGTTGATAAGTTAGTTATTCAAACACTTGGTAATGGTTACTTCAAACACTTGGCAGTACAGTCAGCTATGCCAAAAACACCTTTTAAATTCCATTCCCCCCACTCCCACCTGCAAACCCTTTTCCAATTCTCCTGCTCAAAGTTATATACCAAGAGCTGTGGTGGCCCAGTGGTTAGAGTGCAGTATTGCAGGCTCCTTCTGCTGCCTGCCGGCTGCCTGCAGTTTCGCAGTTCGAATCTCACCAGGCTCAAGGTTGACTCTGCCTTCCATCCTTCCGAGGTCAGTAAAATGAGGACCCAGATTGCTGGGGGCAATATGCTGACTCTGTAAACCGCTTGGAGAGGGCTGTAAAGCAGTATATAAGTTTAAGTGGTCTAACCTTTCCCATTCTTTTTTTATTTATTTTATTTATTTATTTATTTTATTTTATTAAATTTCTATACCGCCCTTCTCCCGAAGGACTCAGGGCGGTGAACAGCCAGATGATAAAACACAGGAAATACAAAATCTAAAATAAATTAAAACAAATTAAATAATTTAGGATGAATTTTAAAATACCCCATAATTAAACAGATTAAAATTTATGTTTAAAATTTAAATTTAAAAGAGATGATTTAATGTAAATTTTAATGTAAATTTTAATTCGTAAAGTGGTATATAAGTCTAAGGGCTGTTGCTGTTGCTATATTTGCTTTCTTTCAGCTCACAACCCTCCCTCAAAATCTTTGGGCTTATGACTAGTTTTTTTGGGTGGGCTAACAGACGTTCTTCTAAAGCCCTAATTCAGTTTATCTGCTTGATTTTATTTTATTTTTATTTTATTAGTCATATTTCTATGCCGCCCACTCTCCGAGGACTCTGGGCGGCTTACACCAAAGACAGTATACTAAATAGCATATTGCCCCCCAACAATCTGGGTCCTCATTTTACCCACCTCGGAAGGATGGAAGGCTGAGTCAACCTTGAGCCGGTAAGATTTGATCTGCTGAACTAGCAGTCAGCTGAAGTAGCTGCAGTACTGCACTCTAACCACTGCGCCACCCCGGATTTTGGCTGATTCTGATTCCCCTTGTCTTCTTTGCTGCCTTGGAAATTATATGACATATGACATTCTCAACAGAGTACTTTTCAAAGGCTGTGAAAGCGTTGCTGGTCTACTGACTCAGTCATCATTACTGTCAGGGTTCCGGATGCCCTAATTAAATCATGAGCCTCGAGCCAAGCTTCAAAAGAAATCCAGTTATTTATTAGGAGCTTCATGTCTGCACGTTCCCAAGTGAAGCCAGCTCTGACCCTACCTAATTTACATTCCAATTATGACCCTGTTTCCCTCCCCCCTTCCTCCAGGGTGTGTCATCAATCACATTCGCCAATGGAGCAATTTCGAGGGTTGTAGAGGTCACTCCCCTTCGGCTGCTGTAGGTAACCCTGGGATACCGTCTTGAGAGAGAGAAGCGTGGAATGTCTTTGGCTGCTGTGCCATTTCATCGGTTTCCCATCCTCCCTGGCCTACCTATGGCAACTCGAGAGCAGGCCAGGGATGCTTTGCGAGTTGACAGTTATGATAATTCATCAAGCCACGTTGAGAAACATTGTTGGTGAAGGTGGGGTCCAGCTTAGCTGTTCGTTCAGTGTTGGATTGAGGCAGGCTTAAGTGCCTGAATGGCAGGCAACCTCGAATTGCTTCTGCTGCCCATCCTGAGTTGCTGGAAACCCCTCACGTGTCTTACCTTGCAGGAGTTGGAGCTGGAGAACAAGCTCGATGGAGGAGAAACTGCATCGGATAGCGAGAATAAATCGGAGGCCGCCCCGCCTTCTTCGGCTGACGATACCCCTGAGGTCCTCAACAGAGCACTGTCTCACCTGTCCTCAAGGTACCGTTTCTCAGGGTTCCAAATAATACACCCATAGCAGTGGTGGGTTGCCCCCCCCATCCCCCCGGTTCGCACCGGTTCTATAGAACCGGTAGTAAAACCAGCGGGAGGCTCCGCCCACCGACCCCCAACGTCATCAGAATGCTTTTGCGCACGCGCAGAAGAGCGTGCACGCGAGCGAAGAAAGCATGCGCACATGGCCCCATTGCAAACTGGTAGTAAAGGTAAGTAGAGCCCACCCCTGACCCAAAACAGACAAGGGGAGACAGATTATAGTCTTGTTGTGCTGTTGAAACCAGAGCTCTCCGGAGTTCAAGCTTGACTCATCCTCTCTTGCAGATGGAAGAACTGGTGGGTGAGGGGCATCCTGACGCTGGCCATGATTGTCTTCTTCTTCATCATCATCTACTTGGGACCCATGGTGTTGATGATGATCGTAAGTCCTTGTTGCGTCTGGGGACAAAACCTTCTCTCTCTCCCTCTCTCTGAGAGCGGGAGGGCTTTGGAGAAGTTCCATCCTCCGGATGGATGGATGGCTTGGATCTCAGGTTGGAAGGTAATCCAAATTGGGTGGGTGGGTGGGAATTGGAAGGGAAGAGAGGCTGCACCCACCCATGTCCGAGAGAGCCAAGTGGAAGGAACCATTTGCAACTAACTTGTCCAGAATCCAAGTTCTAATCAGCCTTTTGTGGTTGATTCCAAACAAATTTTTAAAGTTCTTAAGCTTGTATTTAAAATCTCTTTTGTAAGAAGAACATTTACCCAGTGCTCTCAAACTTGCCAATCCAAAGGTTTCTAAAAGCAATTAACAAGCAATTTCTGAAAGTAATTAGAAAAAGGAAATAGATCAGCTTTCAAAGGTACCGACTGTGGCTTGAGCCAGAAGGCAATTTCCTCATCTCCCAGCACTATCACTCTCTTGTGGTCCCTTCACGAGGAGCAGCGGTCTGGAGCACTTGAGGGCAATCTCAAGTCCTCTCATTGTCCAGAGAGACATTGCAAAGAACTGATGTACCTCACTAGCTCTTCATTCCACAGTAGTCCTCTTCCATTCGCCATTTCTTCCCCAAAAATCTGGAGGGTTTTTATTTATTTGTATCTTGCCTTTTATTATTTTTACAAATAATTCAAGGGGGAACATACCTTACACTTTCCTCCTATTTTCCCTATGAGACGGGTTGGGCTGAGAGAGACTGATTGGCCCAAAGTCACCCAGCCCACTTTCATGCCTAACATGGGACTAGAACTCACAGTCGCCTGGTGATTGACCCAAAGTTACCCAGCCACCTTCCATTCCTAAGGCCAGACTAGAACTCACAGTCGCCTGGTGATTGACCCAAAGTCAATCTGGTGCCTTAACCACTAGACCGAACTAGTTGTTAGGGTTTCAGCTCCCATCATTCCCAGTTAAGAGCAACCGTAGGTAAGAGAAACTGATCCGAGCTACATCTCTGTTATGATTATACTATCACCAGGCTAAAAGATTTGGGGCTATAAGGTCCCCCACTCACCTATCTGAAGAAATAATTATTGCCACGAAAATCGACCGTATAAAATGTCTTGCAGGTCATGTGTGTCCAGATCAAATGTTTCCACGAGATCATCACTATTGGTTACAACGTCTACCATTCCTATGAGTTGCCCTGGTTCAGGACACTGAGTTGGTAAGTGGGGGCGGAGTTGTTTATTTGTTTGTTTGCCTGTACAGTGTGGAGAAACTCCCACCAAGGATGACCCAAGAACTGGTGTAGGGTCTCCTGCTTCGGCGGGGGTGGACTAAATGACCTACAAGGTCCCTTCCAACTCTGTTAATCTGAATCTATTTAAGGTTGTCATCCTTGGTGAAAGTTCTTTTGGGATGACCACCTATTTAGAAAGTGCCTCTTCATACAGAAAATTCTTAAAGTGAATGTAGCAAGAAAATCAGAGATTTTTCTTTCGGGTTTCATGGAAAAAAACTTGGGGGGGGGAAAAATTCGGAACTTTGTTGTTATATACGTTGATGGCAGCAAGACCTTGCACAGAAATGGAGGGTCACCTCGATCCCCACAATGGGTGAATGGCTGCAAAAACTGATGGAGTTAGCAGAGATGGATAAATTGACTGTTTTGATCAAAGAAAAAAAAATGCAAATGCTTTTATTTCTACTTGGAAACCATTTCTGGATTTTGTCCTTGAAGTGGGGGGGGGGGAAGAAATTTTGATTTTGCATTTTACCGATTAAATAAATTCGTTGTTATAGAAATGGCTAGTTTATAGTATTATGTAAAAGTAAAAAGGTGAGGTTTGATATCACCTTATTCTACTGCACCAAAGGGACTCAGAAGACAGAAGTATAGAGCCTTGGTAGTACAGTGGTCTAAAGCACCCTGTTATTAAGACCAGCTGCCTGCAATTACTGCAGGTTCGAATCTTACCAGGCTCAAGGTTGACTCAGCCTTCCATCCTTTCTAAGGTAGGTAAATTGAGGACCCAGTTGTGGGGGCAATAAGCTGACTTTGTATAAATATACAAAAGGATGAAGGCTATTGCTTAGCGCATTGTAAACCGCCCTGAGTCTCCGGAGAAGGGCGGCATATAAATCAAATTAAAAAAAAAAAAAGTCAATGCCTTTTCCCCCCTCATTTCCCCCCTTGCTTTCCCGCACTTTTCCCTTCTCCCTTCCCTAACTTATTTACATTTGTATTTCCTTTGTGTGCTATATTATAAACTAATTAAAAAAATGTTTAAAAAAGAAAAAGTGCCTCTAAAAGAAAGCTACCTGGGAATAGCAATAGCACTTAGACTTATATACTGCTTCACAGTTCTTTGCAGCCCTCTCTAAGTTGTTTTACAGAGTCAGCCTCTTACCCCCATTTTACCGGGTCCTCATTTTACTGACCTCGGAAGGATGGAAGGCTGAGTCAACTTTGAGCCAGTGAGATTTGAACTGCCAAATTACAGGCAGTCGGCAGAAATAGCCTGCAGTACTGCACTCTAACCACTGCGCCACTGTGACTCATGCCTTCAACACCTCCAAATCTACCATAAGTTTTAGTTCAGCCCCTCCGACTGAGTAATTCCAACCGTCCCTTGGGAAAAAGTCCTTGTAAGGTTCAATAAAAAAAAGCCTGTGTATGTCTTTTTCAGGTACTTCCTGCTCTGTGTGAACTATTTCTTCTACGGCGAGACGGTGACAGATTATTTTTTCACTCTGGTCCAGAGGGAGGAGCCCTTACGCATCCTTAGCAAATATCACCGCTTCATTTCCTTCACCCTCTATTTAACAGGTAAGCCTTGGGATCTCTTGCTTGGGTTTATGTAGGAGGTGACCAGGTGGAGCCCCAGGAAGCGTCAAGCGCATCGCCAATTTGGACTCTCTATTCCAGGGGTCTCAAACTTGATTTCGTTGATGGCCGCATCAGGATCGTGTTTGACCTCAGGGCCTGGGTGGGTGTGGCCGGGGTAGGCGTGGTCAGCTCGACATCACTCGTGTTGGGGGCACCCCTCCCTGCCTCCATTTTCGGCTGCGACGGCCTCCTGCGGCGCTCTGTCAGCCAAAATGGAGCGCGGCCCTCCCGAGCTCCGTTTTGGCTGGCAGAGCGCTGCAGGAGGCCGTCATCAGTGGGTGGGTTTCAAAAATTTTTACTACCGGTTCTGTGGGCGTGGCTTGGTGGGCGGGGCATGGCTTGGTGGGCGGGGCAGGGGAAAGATACTGTAAAATCTCCATTCCCTCCCCAATCCAGGGGAAAGTTACTGCAAAATCTCCATTTCCTCCCAATCAGCTGGGACTCGGGAGGCAGAGAATAGGTGGGGGCGGGGCCAGTCAGAATTTTTACTACCGGTTCTCCAGAACTGGTCAGAACCTGTTGAAACCCACCTCTGGCTGTCACAGCCAAAAATGGAGGTGGGAGGACTGAGTACAGCTTTCCCGCACTTCATTTTGGGCCAATTCTTTGCTGTTTCCAGGATCTGGCCTACGGGCCTTGAGTTTCAAACCCCTGCTCTATACTCTGCTCCTTGCGGGTGAGCAGAGAACAGGCGGACAGCCAGTTCCCCTTCAATCCCGTTTTCTTTCTTCTACTGCAGGTTTTTGCATGTTCGTTTTGAGCCTGGTGAAAAAGCATTATCGCCTTCAGTTCTACATGGTAAGATTAAGTAAATGGATTCCGTGCTTTCAGAGTTTTAATAGCCCACCTCGGGGAGAGGGGGAGGCTGAGAGGGAGAGAGAGATGGAAACGGACATAAAATTGGCACCTGGATACAACAACAAAACCCGTAGAGGTTTTGCCTGAGTGGAGAAACCCACAACTCCTCGGTTTCTAGATATTCTGAAAGCTTCCTTGGCATCTTTGATTCTCCGCCATCTCAACATTCAGCTCTCATAAATATCCCCCCCCCCTTTTTTTTTCTTTTCTTTATTTGCACTTCATGTCTGGGCACTGTAATCCATAGTACTTCCGTCATCCAGTAAAGTAGACTAAGTGAAGAGTTACTTCAGTGGAGAGTTTGAAAATCAAAGAACCTTGGTAGTACAGTGGTCTAAGGCACCCTGTTATTAAGCTGGTTATTAAGACCAGATGCCTGCAATTACTGCAGGTTCAAATCTCACCAGGCTCAAGGTTGACTCAGCCTTCCATCCTTTCTAAGGTAGGTGAAATGAGGACCCAGTTTGTGGGGGCAATAAGCTGACTTTGTATAAATATACAAAAGGATGAAGGCTATTGCTTAACGCATTGTAAGCCGCCCTGAGTCTCCGAAGAAGGGTGGCATATAAATCAAATTTAAAAAAATATATATTCTTCCAATTTCTTAGAACTTTGTTTCTCATCTTTGGCAACTCTGAGATGAGACTTCAACTCATTTCGTTTTAACTTGAAGTCCTTAAAATTGTCAGAGTTGAGAAAAAAAAAACCCTGTCCTAGGAGGGAAGCAGATCAAAAATGTGCAGAGTAGATTCCCTTTAGCAAATAACCTCCTGATCCTGAACTTTAATTATTTAGGTTTAGATTAATTATTCAAAAAAAATTACTGCCTTTAGGGCAGTGTTTCTCAACCTTGGTAGCTTGAAGATGGGTGGACTTCAACTCCTAGAATCCTCCAGCCTGCTGGTTGGGGGATTCTGGGAGTTGAAGTCCACCCATCTTCAAGCTACCAAGGTTGAGAAACACTGCTTTATGGCTTCAGTCTTCCACCACAGAGTTAGGATGCAACTGCATTGCAAAGCCGAATACAAAATTCACAGTAATAACCATCTAGGACGAACTGATTTCAAAAACAGAAGTAAAGTAAGTGGTGTGGTTAGATGTAGAGTTTTGCAAGAGGGTTAAGCAGAGGCTGTCAGAGGATGTGGGAGAAAGGTCGTGACCCGAGGCCAGAGTTCTCCCCTTACCTGCTACCGGTTTGGACGAACCGGTAGTAAAAAAAATGCTACCGGTTTTGACAAACCGTATTTCTGACGATCAGCTGTGCTGCATGATTTATATTCACTAGAAAACAGGAAATCCTGCTTTCTAGCGAATCTACATCGTGCGGCACAGCTGTTCCCCGCCTTCGCTGTTCTTACCAGAGAAGGCTTAATCCTCCTTTTTCAGTGCTGCGCAGTAGTGCACGAAGCGAACCGGTAGCAGACTTCAGAGCATTTCACCCCTGGTTGTAAGTCACTCTTTTTAGAGCTGTTGTAACTTTGAATAGTTACTAAATGAACAGTTTGTAAGTTGAAGACTACTGTATCTTTCTGGTTTTTCTCACAAATACTACAAAAATACTTTTTGTCTTGGAAAAAAGAAACACCAGTGGGAGTTCGGCTGTACCCACCATCTCTCTCTCTCTCTCCTCCTCCTCCTCTCTTCCCCCTTTCTTTGTCATATATATGTGCAGATATATATATATATCTATTTAAATTTATATACGGGCGTGTGTTTTCTTAGCATTTTGGCTCGTCTCCGAGAAATGTTTTCCTCTCCAAACTGGACTGCATGTTCTCTCTTTCTAGTTTGGCTGGACCCATGTGACTTTGCTAATAATTGTTACCCAGTCGCACCTCATCATTCACAACCTGTTTGAAGGAATGATCTGGTGAGTCAGCGCAGCGGGCGGGGTACGGCGCCCCACCCCCCACCCCCATGCTGGGGAGGATGGGCTTGGCAGCATCCCGTAGGAGAGACCTTGTGCATGTAGCTGCCGCATGATGGGTCTTACAGAGAGGAAGCCTTCCTGAGTCTCTGGCTCAAGGGGGGGGGGGCGTTAATGGGCCGGGGTCTCTGGGGTGCTTCCGGTCTCCACCAAGCAGAAGATCTCGCTCAGTCTCAAAACTTCTCGGTGGCTGCGCCTGGCTGCGCTCTTACTAAAGATGAAGAGAGTGCACCTTTGGGGGTCTTAAGCAGTAGCTGTTACGCATTAAGCCACAAGCACGATTGCCTTGAAGCGTCTTCCGGAAGCTTTTCTCTCGCTTGAGCATGGTGTGAAAGGTGCACAATAGACGCCTTTGGTATGCAGAGTGCTTTTGAGCATTGCTATTTGGCAGTCCAGCTCTGATCATCGGGGGGGGAGGGAGGGAGGGGGTCAAAGCTTGATGGGTGTTTCTTGGTTTAGTTCTGGGTGAAGGAAAGGCCATTTGGGTCTCTTCGTAACTGTTCTGGGAGCGGGGAGGGGAGTCTCTTTTCAAACCACCTCTAGGAGCTTAGGAACCTGCAAGGTACTTTTGCAACACGAGGGGCTTCCTTCAGCTGGAAGGGGCTTGACACAGTAGGTGCAAATGTCTGGGCGAACATCCACTTATGCTTTGCCAGCTTTCGTTCTGGGGTAGTTTGACCCCCCCACTGCCCTCTCACACATACATGTGAAAGAACACCTATGGATCCAGCCATCCATTGACTGACCTAATTGCCAGTTTCCCCCAGGGATGCTACCTTGTGTCAACGTCCCAGCACTGACATATAAATAAAGTGAGGAGAAGCCTGAACTTTTGCCTGCTAAATCCCTTTGAAGATTCTGTCTCCTCGGAGATGGGAGAGGGGGGAGACATTCCTGTGACCTGACGAAGAAGGAATCAGGAAAGTGACTTGGAAGATAGCCAATGAGAAGCAGAGAATTGCGGATCGGAAAGGGAGGGATTGGAGGGCAAAGGTCAGTACTGACCGCGAAAAGAGTCAGGATCAGATGGCTGTGCTCGAATAAAGAGAAAATTTCCTTAAAGTTTGGAAATTCATTTATTTTGAGATAGCATCGAAACCTGACACCTTGATTCTTAAAATGAGGCCTGCTAAGAGCAAAACTGCCCTCATGTTGGGTTTAGTTCAGGGGTCTCCAAACTTGGCAACTTGTAGATTTCATTCCCGTTTGGCCAGCAGCGTTCAGGGCCCCAGAGAATACTTAGTTGACACCATGGAACGAATTGTGTAGGTTTCACCAAAACTTCACATCCAAGATGGCTGAAAGAATTTTCAGATTTTTGTTGTTGTTTTTAATAGAAGTTTCTTCCGACATTTTCCAAAAGCATCTTGCCGTTTTTGTCGCGGAATTCCCAGGGATTGAATAGGCCTGCTTCATCCCGAGATAATTTTTTGTGCCCTGAAAACAGTTAATAGACGTTGATTCATACCTCTTTTTTTAAAAAAAAAAAAAGACAAGAAATCCATTTACCAAAATAGACCTTGGCCTGTATTAAGAAGAAGAGCATGAGGATGATGTAATTTCTAAACTAAGCTTTGCAGCAGCAAGAGAATTATTTCAAACCGGAACGACGAAACCAATATTAAAAACGGGACTTTTTACAAATTAAAGGCACGGGCTCCTTTATTGCTATTTAAGATACAACAAATGCAGGTGTAAATTAGAGCAGGATGGGCAACTTTTCTTTTGTTGGTGTTTTAGCACTCTGGGGGCGTGTGCTGGTGATGGGTGCAGTCATGAGAAGGAAGAGGCTGGATATTTCTGCCTGTTTTTTTAGGGTTTTGGTGGCGGAAGTTAGTGAAAATATTAATGATATTGAGCTTTACTTATTTAAAAAAGTGAAGCATGTCCCAGCTGAGAACTGCCAAATTTCAGAGCTGCTGGCTTCAAGGTTATAAAGATACTTATTTATATAAAATAAAATATTATTATATTTTTATAAAAGACAAATAGGCTTGTCTATGGAGATTCTCAGTCCTCCGAGTCCTGGTTGTCCCAAAGGTGCTTTTTTCAGGAGGCAACTGGACTTTCTGATTTTTTTAATGTATTTATTTGTTTTATTTATTTGTTTTAATTTGTATACCGCCCTTCTCCGGCAGGACTCAGGGCGGTGAACAGCCAAAATAAAACAGAACATACAAAATTTAAAAACAGTTTAAAAATAATTAAATATTTTTGGCCACAATTTAAAACAACCCAATTAAAATCAATTAAATTTAACCAAAACTGTGGGATCAAGCCAGCCCGGCTAGGTGAAATAAATAAGTTTTCAGGGCCCGACGAAAAGTCCGGAGGTCTAGTATTATTTTGAAGACATTTCGCTTCTCATCCAAGAAGCTTCTTCAGCTCTGGATGGTGGGGGATTTATATTCCTTGCAAATAGCTGGTCATTTGCATCCTTTTAGAGGGTCGTTGAAGCACTTGGAGGTTTATCTGTGTCCTCAGGGTCACCTAAGTGGTACTCCTGGTTCTTTTACTCTGCAATTTTTCCTCTAGGAAATCCATTCCTATTCCCACACCATTCAAAGGATGTTCATCCCAAATTGTATAGCTAAAAGTCTCCAAATGCTTCAAGGACCTTCTAAAAGAATGCAAATGACCATTCCATTCCCCGCTATCCTTTCAGTCAGAGCTGAAGACTCTTCTGGGATGAGAAGCAAAACGTCTTCAGAGAAAATCCAGAAAATCCAGTTGCCTCTTGAAGAAGCCCCTTTGGGACAAATAGCTTTGAGGAATTAATAGGGAGCACCTTCCAAGGAAGGGAGTGGGGGGCAAAGCTCTTTAAGAACCCTCGCTGGTTGTTTAGGGCAAATCCTCTCTCTATCCAAAACCACCTTCCCTGGCCTGGCATCCTCTAGAAGGGTTGAGCTTTTGAGTTTCCCAACCAGCGTCGTCCAAGCGAAGAGCATCTCGGTTGGCAGTTCTATTATCCTGACTATGATTGAATCAGATTCTCCTTTCTCTTTTACCCACCTCGGATGCTGTCTAGGTTCATTGTCCCGATTTCCTGTGTCATCTGCAACGACATCATGGCGTACATGTTTGGGTTCTTCTTCGGACGCACCCCGCTGATTAAGGTCGGTTCCTATGTTGGGGTTCTTGGAACATCTGCAGGGAACAGCCTTGGGCTTCAGTTAAGGCCAAAGTCCTCCATGATCCACTCCAACTGATGGGCTAGAATAAGAATAGCAGTGTTTGAAGGGACCTTGGAGGTCTTCCAGTCCAACCTTCCTTGCTTAGGCAGGAAACCCTTCACAACTTCAGACAAATGGTTATCCAACATCATCTTAAAAACTTCCAGTGTTGGAGCATTCACAACTTCTGGAAGCAAGTTATTCCACTGATTAATTGTTCTCACTGTCAGGAAATTTCTCCTTAGTTCTAAGTTTTTTCTCTCCTTGATTAGTTTCCATCCATCACTTCTTATCCTGCATTCAGGTGCTTTGGAGAATAGATTGACCCCCTTCTTCTCTCTGACAGCCCTTCAATTATTTGAAGGCTGCTATCATGACACCCCTAATCCTTCTATTTTGTTTTAGTTTTGGAAATCCTGCATCTTTTGGTCTTGCGCTTCCTGCTTTCTTTCTCTCTTTTTTTCTATTTATTGATTCATTCCTTTTTTTTTTTTTTACCTGCAGTTATCCCCAAAGAAAACCTGGGAAGGGTTCATTGGAGGATTCTTTGCCACTGTGGTGTTTGGCCTTTTAGTAAGTGTTTGTTTTACTTTAATAAAGGACCACACAATTGAGAGGGGAAAACAGGAAGAATTTGGACACTTCTATAATACACAGGTCTGACCCATAGAGTGCAGAATCCACCAGGAAATTCACAAGAAAAGGCTTATACAAATTGGGAGCAAACAACACTTTTTTTTAAAATTAGGGCAGTTTGAACACTTAAGAGAGACTACAGGAACTGTGTATGTTCCTTCATCAGAACAACGAGGTTTCTTGTTCTCCATCGTTCCAGAATAACAAATTTAAGTCTCAGGCAGACCAATTTCAATTTCAAGGTTTGAAAAATCCTCCCAATGTTAAGAGTTTAGCAATAGACTCGATGACACAGATGTGTGATGGGCTTCCATTCATTGGATGGTAAGGCACTAGAAGATTCTCTGTCTGGGATGCTTAAATTTGGATTCCTGCCAGAATCCCAGGGCGGTAAAATAGATTGGAAAGTTAACCCAACATCTGGAAAGAGAGTAGTGGCAAAAGTCTTCCAGGTCTCTGCCAAGAAAGTTCCATGGAAGTGTCCAGCTGAAGTTAGCTTGAAAGAAATTCCACCTTTATTGAGCAAAAGGTTTAATGGTTTCTACCAACTTGAGAGGGTTATGCAAATAGTCCTCAGTTAACAACGTTCGGTGACTATTCAATTACGACAGCACTGAATGAGAGGGATTTAAAACTGGCCTTCGAAGTTTCATCAGTCCTAGCAGCCCTACAGTCACCTGATCACCATTTCCAAGCTTCCCTATCCTGACTTGGAATTTCCCGCTGGCTTCCCCATTGACGTTGATTGTTGGAAGCCGGCAGGAAGCTGTGAGAGGCCCTCACTCAGGGGTGAAATCCAGCAGGTTCTGACAGGTTCTGGAGAACCGGTAGCGGAAATTTTGAGCAGTTCGGAGAACCGGCAAATACCACCTCTGGCTGGCCCCAGAGTGGGGAGGGAATGAGGATTTTGCAATATCTTTCTCCCAGGAGTGGGGAGGGAATGGGGATTTTGCTGTATCCTTCCCCCAGGAGTGGGGAGGGAATGGAGATTTTGCTGTATCCTTCCCCCAGGAGTGAGGTGAGAATGGGGATTTTGCAGTATCCTTTCCCTGCCACGCCCACCAAGCCTCGCCCACAGAACCGATAATAAAAAAATTTGGATTTCACCACTGCCCTCACTTAATGACTTGCGATCCTCATAGTAACAGGGCCTGCTGGAATTGCTGTTATGCTGGGTTATGGGGCCACGTGACAGCATGCTATTATGACCACGTGAAGTTTAGCGACAGAAATCCTGTCCCATTGATCGTAGTTAACTGAGAACTACTTGTAGTTAAGCCTTAGAAAAATTGTTTTTGGTTTTCATGTATACCAGCTTGATCTATTTTTAAGGCACCATGGCAGAAATTAACTCTGTGATTCTTCTGTCCTTCTCTCAATCCCCACCAAGCTCTCATATCTGATGTCCGGATACAGATGTTTCATATGTCCAGTCGAATTCAACAACGACACCAACAGCTTCACAGTGGATTGTGAGCCTCCGGAGCTTTTCCAGCTGCAAGAATATAACATCCCCCTGGTGCTTCAGTCTGTGATCGGCTGGGTAAGCCTTTCGATTCAGCAATTCGGTTTGCCCCGACAGCGTTGCAAAATGGCTAAAATATGCATTCCTTTTCACATGCTGAAGGGGGGGGTAGAGCGTTTATGGCCATCATATTGTATTTCTGGGGTGGAGTAGGGAGTATTACCTCCAATTTGGTCCCTAAAACACTCCAGCCCCTAAAATAAAAAAAAATATCTTTCAGCTGTGAGCATGCCACTCACCTGTCCCGTTTTCCTTATTTCCCTCTCCTTCCTGCAGAAGACTGTCCGGATGTATCCCTTCCAGATCCACAGCATTGCCCTCTCCACTTTTGCATCCCTCATTGGACCTTTCGGGGGTTTCTTCGCCAGTGGTTTCAAAAGAGCGTTCAAAATCAAGGTAGGTCACACCTGAGCATCAACATCGGCATCCCCAGAGCACGTGAACCGTTTTGGCTCCCACCTCACAATCAGGAGGCTGTGAGTTCCATCCTAGGTAGAGGCAGATATTTCTCTCTCTGGGCACACTGAGAATATATCTGCTGCAAAAAACTCCGCATTGGCGACAGGAAGGGTATCCGGCCAGTAAAATACTCTTGCTAGCTCCATTCAGTTGCCCACCCCACAAGGGATTATGGGGTCATTAAAAGAAGATGATGATGATGAAGAAGGCTCAATGACACATTTTCGTTTTCATTGGCAGGATTTTGCCAACACCATCCCTGGGCATGGCGGCATCATGGATCGATTTGACTGCCAGTACTTGATGGCCACTTTTGTCAATGTGTATATTGCCAGCTTTATCAGGTAACAGTTGTGTGTGAGGGTTATTTCCGCCTCCCCCCCTTGTTTCTAACCCTGCTTTTCCTTTGAAGACATTTTGCTTCTCATCCAAGGAGCTTCTTCAGCTGACCGGATGATGGAGAATCAAAGGATTTATATTCCTTGCAAACAGCTGGTCATTTGCATTCTTATGTCCAAATTGAACAGCCCTCCCTCAACAGAGGGGGAGGGGTACGACATCATCTATCTCCAGTCTACAACACAGTCCTTCCATCAGTTCCAAGAAGCCTCCACACCCATTTGCACCACTCAGGTGATCCTGACGACATAGAGAAACCTCCAAGTGGCCTCAGTGACTCTCAGAGAGAGTACTAATAACCAGAGGACTGCAAGGAGTATCAATCCTTCCATTCCCCACCATCATCCACTCAGAGCTGAAGAAGCTTCTGGGATGACAAGCGAATCGTCTTCAGAGGAAAACCAGACATTCCAGTCGGTGGTGAAATCCAAATTTTTTTTACTACCGGTTCTGTTTGGTGGGTGTTGTGTGGCTTGGTGGGCATGGCAGGGGAAGGATACTGCAAAATCCCCATTCCCACTCCACTCCAGGGGAAGGATACTGCAAAATCCCCATTCCCACTCCACTCCAGGGGAAGGATACTGCAAAATCCCCATTCCCACTCCAGGGGAAGGATACTGCAAAATCCCCATTCCCACCCCACTCCAGGGGAAGGATACTGCAAAATCCCCATTCCCACCCCACTCTGGGGCCAGCCAGAGGTGGTATTTGCCGGTTCTCTGAACTACTCAAAATTTCCACTACCTGCTGGATTTCACCCTTGAGTCCATTTGCCTCTCGAAAAAAACACCTTTGGGACAACCTTGTCCTGGATGAATGAGAATCTCCATAGACAGGACAAGTGAGCCTCCCACCGTTCGTGTAGGAACAGTCTATCTGACCACCCCTGTTCTTGTTTTCCTCTTTCCAGGGGCCCCAATCCGAGCAAGCTCATCCAGCAGCTCTTAACCCTGCGGCCCGATCAGCAGCTGAACATCTTCAACACACTGAAGGCTCACCTGGTCGACAGGGGGGTGCTCCCCACTTCCGAGGACGCATAGGCAGCTCGGCGATCGGACTGTGACTGAACAAGCCCCCCCCCTTTCCTACCTGCCATAGGAACCCTGCCCATCCATCCACCTTGCCCAGCCTAGCACAATAACCGAGCTGAACCTCTCTCACTTTCTCCTTCCCCCCATACCAAAGGGGGGGGGGGTGTCGGTGGCTTTTTGGGGGGACGGACAGTTTGTTTCCAAGCAGACAGGAGAGGGGGCTTCGCTCGGAAGAAATTTGGGGCGCAGGGGAATGGACCTGGCTGAGTGTTTTGGAACGCAGCCTTTCCCTTCAGGGCTGCACTTGGGGTTTTCCGCTCCTGGGGAGGTGGGGGGGTGTCTCATTTTTTTCCCCCAGGGTGAGGTGGACAGAGAGATGGGAGAAAGGAAGCAGGCGGTAGGGGGGGGGGAAATACTTCTCCGTAGTTCAGAAAGCGAAAAGGGGTCTGGTTGTGCACTGACGTTTCTTCCTGAATTGTATTGTGTAGCAAAAATGGTTGTGGCATTTGACCAAACTGTCCGGAGACCAGAATAATCACAACGGCTCCCATATCGGCCTCCCCAGGAGCTGCTCAGCAATTCCTTTTGCCAGGTGGCAATTTGCAGTCTTGATGGATGGGAAGAGTGTGTGTGTTTGTGTGTGTGTGTGTGTGAAAGCTACAAGATTGCAGAACCTCCCAAACTAAATCGTTTCAAAACAAAATTTCTTTTCCCTTTAAGCAACTGCCGCTGTTTTGTGTCTGTCGGCTTGCTGCCTACTCCGCTCCGTTCATCCAAGCAGGCCACATCGTTTGCGGGTTTTGTGATATTGTGGCGTTGCTCATTCTTCCTTGCATCGTAGAAATGCAGCTAGCGAGGAGGGGGCCGAGTCAAATTGTTCTGGGGTTCCTCCTTTTAAAAAAATATATCAGAAGAGATGACGACAGTTATTCTTCCAATTGGAAGAGGTGACTATTGAATCTTTAGCTTAATCAAACAGAGCAAAGAGATTCCAGACAGGAAAAACAAAAATCCTAAGAAGGTTGTGGAAATACATACCGTGTTTCCCCGAAAATAAGACCCTGTCTTATATTTTTTTAAACCCTGAAATAAGCGCTTGGCCTTATTGCCATGCGCTCAAAAGCCCGATTGGGCTTATTATCAGGGGACATCTTATTTTGGGGGAAATGGTATATATTAAAAACATTGCACACATCTTAAAACAGTTTAGAATTTTTTTTAAAAAAGGAAATCCATTTTGGCACAAAAGAAAGGTGTAAAATACAGAAATATTTGACTACCGAAAGAGAAAACTTAACGCACTGTAAGCCGCCCTGAGTCTCCGGAGAAGGGCGGCATATAAATCAAATTAAAAAAAAAAAATATATATTTGGTAACAGGGAGCGTGTTCAATCAGGTTAACCTGCTCTGATCGGAATTGGTGATTTATTTATTTTTTGGCTCAGATGTATCTTAGACTTTCATAGGATTTGAAGCTCTGTTTCTGGACAGCACTTTTGTTTCCGCTGGTTTAGTCTTCTCCAAACTTGACACCACTCCCCGCTTACAGAGGTGTGGACTTCAGCTCCCAGAATTCTTAGCAATGGCTGGCTGGTGGGGGAAACCTTGGAGGTTGCAGACGGCCAACGTTGGCCACCAGTGCAGCTGTTTCAGGAGTTCAGGTCTAGTAATAAATTTGTAAAAAGCCTGTTCCTTTTGAGCAAGAGAAGGGAAATAGCATAGAAATGTCTTAAGGTCGAAAGCAGTGAGTGTCCAAGCAGCCTTATCCAGTCTGGCTCCCCCTTGATGTAAGGTAACATCAACTCCCAGAATCCCTCAGCCAGCAGGGTCAGAGATTGGTGGAGAATTCTGGGAACTCTAGTCCTAGTCTCTATGGAGATTGCAATCTGGAGAAAATTGCATTACGCCCAGGACGGTTCTGGTCCAAAGACCGCTCGACAGCGGTTCGTCAGTCCGGGTTTTCGCGGAGCTCATCGGAGCCCGCTAATTCCCCGACTGTCTCGCCGTGACGCTTCCAGTGATGGAACAGCGACATAGTAGTTGTAATTCGCCTGCCCTCTTTGCTCTCGGTCATCTTGAATTTTTAAGACAGTTGACAGAATCAAGAATCGGCCCTTTGAGCTGCGTGGCGTGAGAATCTGAAGGCACAGGGAGCCTTCTGGGCCTAGAAACTTCTCCAGGGAGACAGAGTGGCTGGGAAGGGGATCGGTTGGAATCTTAACCTCATTCCCATCCTGATCTCCCCCCAATACATCCCCTCTATGTAGAGGATGACAAGATAATCCCACCCGTCGCTGGCTTCCTTCCCAGCACCTGTTCATGAACCAGAAGGCCTCGCAGGCTTCAGGACGTGTGAATGGCCCCGCTTGCAAAAGAAGGAAGAGCGGCAGGCAGAATCACTCCTTGTGACGCCAAAACATTTGCTGCCCAAAAAATCGGCCCAAAAATGAGTTTGCTTCTCAAAGAAAGCTCATTGAAGCCGGTGCCTGCAGGGACACCAAAGTAGGCGCATCTTCTGTCCTATCGCGCCTGCAGATGCTCTAATCTAGATGGAGGCTTGTTACGGTCTCACTAAAAGGGAAGGCACAGCAGGAAGGAAGGAAGTGAGTTGGCACGTGTATGGGGAGAATTTGGGTGTATGTCGATCAAGGTGAAAAAAAAAACAGGAGCTGGCTGGAAGGCAGAACTCTTGACGTTGTTGGCATCAAACTACTCGGCTTCAGAGAAACCTGTTTGATTTGCAGGGGGGTTTCCTGATGCCTCGAGAGGTGCTCTCCCCACCTCCACCCACAGCGTGGCCCAATACCAAAATGCAACAGCAAAGTAAAGAACAGGAAGTGAAGAGAGTGTCTCAGTTTACCTTTTCAAAAAGGCTCTGACAGAAGTCTTCTGTAAAGAAGTTGGGGTTAAGACCAAACAGATGGAAAGTCATACAAGTAGATGAACCTTTTGAACTGAATGTTGTCCTAGATAAGGAAGGTGTAGGTTGCATTGTCTGTTCTGCACGGGCTCCTTGGCTTGCAGCCTTAAACATCAACACCCTAGTTTGGCTTTGGGGCTGGAGCTCCTGTTTGGCAAAGGAGCTACTAAGGCATTTGACAGCATCAAGAGAACATCAGAAGGGCAACCCTTGGTACAAGAGGCTCCAGGATAGTCTGGCAGAGGTCTTCAAACTTGGCATCTTTAAGACTTGTGGACTTCAACTCCCAGAATTCTCCAGCCAGCATAGCGAATTCCCAGAGAATTCTGGGAGTTGAAGTCCACAAGTCTTAAAGATGCCAAGTTTGAAGACCTCTGGTCTATGGCATTGTTTTAGGAAGCCTTGTAGGAACTGGATTCAAGGCCTTGTCCCTCATGTCTTCAGCAATCTTCTTGTGAAGGTGGAGAGTTTGGGGGTCTCTCTGGAGCCAGATTTAAGGATTGGCAACGATATCGCAGATAGATGTGGACAGTGGATTGTATGGTGTGGGAGGGGCACGAGTAGGTCCCAGTTGGGCACTCTTTCTTTCCACCCTGTCAAAACAGCCCTAAGATGTAGGAGGCCAAGTGTAGCATAGGGCTCTCAACCTCGGCCCCCAGTTCTTGAACATCGCTGAGGTGGAGAAACACTGTTTTAAGGGATTGGATCATGTTCTCCTGAACTTCCATGTAATGCTTGCTATAGAAGACCTCTGAATGCCTCTTTTAAGAAGAAGCAAGGTTCTGTGGAGTACTGGAGAAATGTCTACAATCCTGTAGCTTTTAGGGGGTCTCCAAACTTGAAGACTTGTGGACTTCAACAGCACATGCTGGCCGGGGAATTCTGGGAGTTGAAGTCCACAAGTCTTAAAAGTCGCCAACCCTACACCCCTGCTGTAACTGAAAAAGCCAGCATCCTCTGTGTTCTTCCCGCTTCCCATATTTCCTTCTGCTAAACAACTCCAAATGTTGGTAGTTCTAGTGCCTCAGCGGCCTCCTGTAGACAGCACCTAAAGCTGGCAATATTAGTCCAGCCAGCATAGCTACACGAACACCGTGAATATCTCCTAGCCATTAGCTCCGTTGAGAAATTGTGTTTCCTACTCTGCATCCCGATTCTTTTCTCTCTCTCTCTCTCCCTTTCCGTGCCCTCTGCTTATTTCTCTGTGCAGTGTCCTTTTGAGGAAGGGGGGTTGATGGCTGTATTGTTTCTTTGCAGATGCCCATAAGGCAGGAGGGTCTGCAGGATGGGGTCAAAAGAAGTCAGGATGGGGGCCATACGGGCGCAGTCAAAACCTCCGCATTTTTTTTTTAACGTGCTGCAAAGCAGGTGGAGCTTCCATTGCACTCCTGTGGCCACCATCTTGACCAGGGGTCTCCAAACTTGGGAACTTTAAGACTTGTGGACTTCAACTCTCTTTGCTGGCTGGGGAATTCTGAGAGTTGAAGTCCACAAGTCTTAAAGTTCCCAAGTTTGGAGACCCCTGATCTTGATCATACCCAACAGACACCCTTGCCCATAAGCTAAACTTTGAGTTACATGGATTTTAATTTTTTGTCGTTGTTATTGTTTTGTTCTGACTGTCAGAATGTGAATTACTGTACAAAGGCATTTTATCCTATTTATATACTGTAATGTTATTAAATAAAACGTATCCAAAGTAAATTACTTGTACACGCAACTTTGGGAAAAGGAGCTGATTCCGACTCGGGTTAGTTGAAACAGCTGGCTGAGGGTTCCCAGAAGAGCATTTCGTCTGAATCCACCTCTGCAAGCCACACCATCTGCACCATCCTTCGTTGGCACCCAGAGTTGGGGGAACCAGATTTCTTTCAGCTTCTGTGGGTGATTCCTGACCAAGGTTTGTAAAACATTGGGGCAAAGAGGGGGCATGAGGAACTAAAGATGAAACACGGCTGTAAAACTCGATTAGATTTACAGTATGTATTGAGTCGTGTGCCCAATTTACAACTTTTCTTGCCATAGTTGTTAAGTGAATCACTGCCGTTTTTAAGCTAGCAACATCTGGCTTCCCCATTGACTGCTCAGAAGGCCACACATCAGGAACACGGCCCTGGGACGCTGCAGCAGTCATAAACACGAATTCCTTAGCCAGCATGGGAGTTGGGAGTCCACACCTCTTAAAACATGGTGGCTAGGGAATTCTGGGAGTTGAAGTCCATGCATCATCTTCAAGTGGGCAGAATTGGGAGCACTGCTCTGAAGAAGGGGTCTTTTGAGACTGATCATCTCCTCTGGGCCTGTGCTTCAGGGAAGGTTCTCTGTTGTTGTGGCCCATCAGCGGCCTGTGCAGCTAGTAGCTGATCCCGACAGCGAGGAGGTTGGTGTGGTGCTGTGCGAGCAGCCTGTGCAGCTGGCACTTGAGTCGGACAATGAGGAGGCTGGAGAAGATGTGGTGCCAGAGGCGGGGATTCAGCCAGGGCCTTCAGAACCTCCAGAAGCTCCCATAAGTGAAGAGGACGAAGAGGAGGAGCCTCTTCTCGATGCACGGGCGGGCAGAGCTGCCAAAAGGCAGGAGTGGCTCCTCAGGAGGAGGTCTCCTCAGGAGTAAGGCTTGGGGCTAATTGGCCACTCCCTTAGCCTATTTAAGGAGGAACACCGACTGAAGCAATTTGCAGGGAACAACTTTGTTCCCTCTCCTTCGCGTCCTGATCTTCGTTCTCTGCAAATTGCTTCTGGGCTTTCTGCCAACCGTAGTAAGATTACGATTATTTATTCTTTGGATTCTTGTAGGCTGTTAAGAAAGTCAATTAACAGCCTTTGTTTGAAAAAGACTGATTTAATTTAGTAAACTAAGGGTTGTACATATTTTTTTTGTGTGCTGCGTTCTTTGGGGTCCGTAGCTGGGACCGAACAGCTGTGGAGATACTGTGTGAATGCTCACCCTCTGTGAGGGGCCTGCCAGCCTCTCAGTTTAGCTCTACTTTTGAGTAATGCGTCATGCCAAAGTCTTACGTTGCCTTGCAGTAAAAGTGAAAGCTCTACCGCCTTCTACCTAAAGGCCAAGTGAGACCAAAAGATGGAGGTGGTGGCAACTTGACGTAGGTCAGGGGTGTCCAACCTTCGTAGCTTTTATGACTTCAACCAGGCTGGGTGGGGACTTTTGGGAGTTCAAGTTCACAAATCTTAAAGGTTGGACACTCTTGACCTAGACAAGAGCATCGCTGCCTTTTAGTCATTTCTCAACCTTGTGGGCTGAGATGAGCAGACGAAACACTGGAGACTCCCTGGCCCTTCTTTCCCCACTCCCCTCCCTCCCCTCCCTCCTCTGCTTTAGTCCACCAGCTTCACATGCACAAGGCTCACTTCCTCAAAGCTGGTGAGACGGCAGGACCCATGCGTTCAGCCACCCAGGGCGGGTGCCTTGCATGGCACGTCTGTGGGTTTTGCTGAGGAACGCTCTCGAGAACATGCAGCTAAATGCAACCAAGGACCTACCAAGAATAAAGGGTGATATATTATTAGGTGGTTCTGGGCTGTGAAATGAACAGGCCAGACTAACATCTGGAAAGAGAGCGAGATGACTTTGCACCACAAGAAAGCGAGAGAGAATTATCTGTCACACGCTGGGTAGGCGGAAGTTGTTGGCAAACCAACGCGACTTTGCTTTTCTCAAGGAAGCTCAGACGTCAGTAGAGCAACGTCTCTTCCCCGGGGCTCATAATCTGGAGCAGGAAAAAGGACCCACGCTACGGACCCCCTGTGTGGATGCAAACCTCACACCTGAAGCCGGGATGTCTCTCAAATTTTCTCGTCACTGGGATTTCCATCTGAAGAAGGAAATATCCAAAATAGGTATTCTCTCTTTTTTTTAAACAAGTCGAGGAGGAGTCAATAGTAGCCCTAGATTTTGTCCTCGGGGGTCACTGTGTAAAACAGAGGTCTTCAAACTTGGCAGCTTTTAAGACTTGTGGACTTCGGCTGGAGAATTCTGGGAGTTGAAGTCTGCCAAGTTTGAAGATCTCTGGTGTAAAGGCTGTGAAAATGTGGAGTTGCTCCTTTTCCTGGCTGTGTAGAGGTTTAAACCCAAGTGAGCCTCTCAAGTCTCTCCTTCCCTCCTTCCTCAGCCTTTCTCTTGCGTGTCTCGGGGTTGGGGTGGGTTTTGAAAGCGTCCTGCTGAGCTCCAGCCCTCCTCCTAGCCATAGGCAAATGTTGCCCCTCGAGACAAAGAGCTGTACCTACTGATAGGCCATTTGAGGCTCTGATTTAAATCCTACCCCAGTTGAACACGGTTCTTCTGCAGTTCCGTGTTGCAGGCAGGTGGCTTTCTTTTTCTTGCAAGATCTTGCTCCGGCTTTTGACTTTTATGCAGATTTGGGATCTGTGGGATTCCAGGGTTCCATTCTCACAAGCTGGAAGAAGCTATTTCTTTCCCCCACCCTTCTGTTTTTCTAACAGCTGGAGGAAGACTTGGTTGCACCATCCAAGTCCATCAAATCATTATTTTCTTCTTTTTTTCCCTCCCCTTTTGCCAAGAAGGAACCCCCACAACGGTGACTGCATCCATTTCTTTCTTTTCAATCACTTTTCAGACGGTGTCAATTAAGGGAAGGTGTATTGAAACGGGAGGGGAATCTTGGCTGAAGGCTGAAGTTTCTGGGGGGATCCATCTTTTGTGCCATAGCATCTCTGCTGAATCAGGGTTCCAGTTGCGTCTGCAAAATCTCCATCTTGAGGGTGCATCCTTTGCTTTGAGCAGTTAAGCCAAAAATCTCTGGCCCTCGGATGTCATTCTCCAATGAGTCTTCAAGAAAAGGAACGCAGCACAGGGTCCTGCAGGAAACGGGTTCTATGAGTTCTGATCTCATCAGTTGCTTTCCCAAAGGATCCCTGCTGTACAAGGTCTTTGCACCTGCCAGTGGGCAGGATTGGATCCTAACTTTCATGAGCATTTTGTCATTTGAGAGGCATTTCAGCTCACTGCTCCTGAGTTCTGCTCGGTTTCCAAGAACCTTCTGGAGAAGTTAGTGGTTCCATGGTCAACCATTGTTGACTTACCGTTTGTTCTCCAACACCTTCCCTTTTCCCTCCAACTTCCCCCTCCCATTTTCATTTCCTCTCCCCCCACTCCAACCCTCCAGTGCAGCATTTCTCCCCATCGTTTAGGAAAGAAACATATTTGATCGTCAATTTACTATTTTGAGGTCTTTTGTCAGAAAAGTTGGAATTCCCCACGCTTGAAATTTCCTCTGCTTTAACGTGTTTGGCAGTTTTTATGTATTTGTAAATAGGAGAATACTAATCCGAAAATTGTAGATTAGTGAAGGTTTAAGGCTACGCTTTTGAAAGACAATGAACTAGGAGAATAAATCTACATAGAAAGAAGAATATTGTGGTTCCTTAAATCGAAAGTGGTTAGTTTTCAGGCTTTAAGTCACCTAATTTCAAACGTTTTCTGCAAGAATCCACTTCAGATTTATAATGAAAGAGTTTGATGCCTTCTCAGTTGACCGATGCTTGAAGTCAAACTGGGAAAAGCATTTTCAGAGAGGGCATCTCTGTCCTTCACCAGTTTGGAATTCAGGTCCACTGTTATTTTCTTCAGTCCTCCCTGCCCCATCAAGTGGCCCCCATTGCTTGTGGGAAGGTAGCCTTTAGCAAGAAAAAAGAATTTCTACTGCTTTCTTACTGAAAATTGAACCTATAGATTATTGGGGGGAAAACAATAAGAGTCTTGCAGAAATGAAATAATTGGAATAAAAGTGGAAGTAAATTTATTTTATTTGTCAACAAGTCCAAGGAAACAAGTAACAGTCTAGACATAGACATGGACACATGGAAAACAAATTGGCGCAAATAAAAGGAAATAAATAGGCAAAACATAGCCATAAACACATAGAATGAGTACATATAAATGGGGTCAGTAGGACAGGGACGGGAGGCACCCTGATGCGCTTATGCACCCCACCTTTAGGGACCTCTTAAGAAACACGAAAGGTCCACGGTAGAGAGTTTAAGGCAAAAGGTGTAGGGATTAGAGAGACTAAAAACAGGATCAGGTAGAGTGTTCCAGACATTTACTACTCTATTGCAGAAGTCCTATTTCCTACAATCAAGATTAGAGCGATTTACATTGAGTTTGAATCTACTGATAGGCCTTCTGTTATTACAGTTGAAATTAAAGGACTCATTTACAGGTAGGACGTTTTGGTAAATAATCTTATGAACTAAGCTTAGGTCGGAACGTAGTCGGCGTAATTCGAGGCTATCCAGGCCTAAAATTTCAAACCTGGTGGGATATGGAATTTTATTTCGAGCAGAGGATTTGAGGAGTCTCCTAGTAAAATATCTCTGGACCCTCTCTAATGGATTGATGTCTGAAATACAGTGAGGGTTCCAGGCACATGAGCAGTATTCGAGGATAGGTCTGGCAAAAGTTTTGTATGCCCTAGTTTATAATAATTATAATATTAGTTCAGCCTTCATCTTTCTACAGCAGGACAGGGAAATCAAAATGCAGTGTAAGGCCCTTTCCACATGAGTATTGTAGTCTATTTCGGGCTCTTCCAGTCATAAAACTTGAAATCACTGTTAACAGATTTTCGCATGTTGAAAGTGAAAGGAAAATCAATCCTATTTCTGGAACATAAAACAACAGCCGGAAGTTTCTGATTCTTCTTTTATATGTGATGCAGCGCCATCTCTTCTGCATTTGTTCCCCTCCCCCGTTGACTGGCGCCTAAATCCAGAAAGCATGGCCTCCTGTGCTCAGAAGACCAGCAAGCGACCCTAGGCAAACACAACGGAAGCTTGAGGCTTCAATTTTGAAAGACTTTTAAAGATGTTTAAAACTTTGAAAATCCAAAAAGCAGTCTTATTTAGTTAGTTACATTTTAAAATGCAATAAAAATATAAAAAAATAAAGGAATTTTTTTTTAAAAAAAGAGAGAGAAACCAATAAAGGAGAATATTTGGAGCTCAGAGTTGAAATGAGGAGTCCTTCATGCACTCTGAGTTTGGTTGGTTAGTTGTAGATGTTTCATGACCCAAACTAGGTAATATCATCAGTGCTAGTCTACTGATGAGTTTGGGTAATGAAATGAAACTTTATTATGCAAGCAAACAACCATGCTCAGAGAGAGAGAGAGAGAGAGAGAGAGAGAGAGATGAAAGAATAGGATTTTGATACCTGCCCTTCTTTCTAACATAGTGACCAACTTAACTCTTTCCCCTTTTTGTTAATCCTTTTTAGTCTCCAAATCTCTGAATCTCTGAATCATCAATTCGGTAACAAAAAGTCTCTAAACAGTATAAATTGTTATCGTTTGTTCTGCTTTGACCGGCTTGAGTGATTTGGGCTCATGGTTTGCAAGGGTGAGACCTCCAGAATCGGGAAAGGAGGCTAAGCTTTGTCATAAGAAAATTGGGGAGCTAAAGTAAATTCTTAAACTCCTTGGACGTTACGGAGATTTCCATGCAGAAATTGCCAAGAATACGGAGATGGGATTCTTCTGCCTTCTTTCTGAGTCTGGTGATCCCCATTTTCAAGAAGCATGTTGCTTGCACTGAGCCCCTCAAAGAAATCAGATGAATCAAAATGGAAAGAGGCAAACTCTTTTTCTTTTTTAAAAAATTTCACACCCTCAATTTCCTCCTGCCTCACCCATCAGCAGCCAGCAGAGAGCACTCGGGAACAAATTCTAGATTTCTTTAGATTTCCCCCTGCCTTTCTCTGTTTGAGAAAAGTTATGGGGTTTCCAGAGGGGGTTTCTTTGGCTGGATCGGTACTGAACTAAACTGGAGTGAAATGTCAGTATGGGGGCAAAGTTGAATTCTTCCACACAATCAGCTGAAGTTCTGAGCTGCTACACCACGAGTTCCCCAGAAGTTTCATTTCCACTTAATCTCCTCTTGCGACAGGTTTGTCTGCCGGTCTAGGCAGAGAGCGAAAGTCAACGAGCAAACAGAAACTTCAGATTTGTTGGGGGTGGGTGGCAGCTGAGAGGCAACCCTAGATGACAAATCTACCAGTGGGGTAAAAACGGATTGTGTGGTTGTGTTTACTGTGGAGGCCTCTCTTGTGTCAAAAGTGAAGAAACCGGCTCTCCAGATGTTCCTAGATGACAGTTGCCAGTAGAAAACCAGACGATGGTCACAGTGGCAAAATGACAGCCTTCTGTTGACCTTTTAATACTTATAAACCAAGGTGCTTTAATGCTTACTTTTATTGTTAAATTTTCTGTGGAAATTCTACATCATCCAGGTCAGGGGTCTCCAACCTTGGTGACTTTAAGCCTGGTGGACTTCAACTCCCAGAATTCTGGGAGTTGAAGTCCGGCAGCAAAGCTGGCTGGGGAATTCTGGAGTTTGAAGTCCGGCAGCAAAGCTGGCTGGGGAATTCTGGGAGTTGAAGTTCGCAGGCTTAAAGTCGCCAAGGTTGGAGACCCCTGATCCAGATCATGGTTATCTCAAAGTTGCTTTTTCCAAAAGGCAACTGGACTTTCTTCCTTTTTTCCTTGAAAATGTTTCGCTTGTCATGCAAGAATTCAGGGATAACTTTTCTTTAATTGTTTAAATTGTACACCGTCCAGAGCTCCACCCTGAAGGAGATGGATAGTTAAGAAGTGTGAGGTATAAAAAATAAATAAGATGGGGCTTCGATCACGCAGTCATGGCTGCCTTCTTTTTGACACCATTCCGATGCCTCCGTGGCTATCCCAATCTGTGAGCCAAGATGTGGTAGCACTGAACATCTGTGGATGGGCCAGGGCATTTGGCCACTTAAAGGACAACATGATGTCAAGATGTCTGTGTGTGTTTGTGTGTGTCTGACTGATGGAAACAGTGTTGTGACATCACCATACAAGCTCTGCTTCTTTCTATGTGGGTCAAGACAATTCACTTCATAATTCATAATTCAATTCATAATTAAAAACAAGAGGATACAATTGATAAAATGGCACATGAGAGAAGCTGCCATTCTTTTTTTTTTTGTTATTTAAGTTTTTTTTATTTTTATAAATATCTCAAATCTATGCGTGAACAGTGTGGCACCAGTGTCATACATTCTAATGCAAATAAAACTAATAATCATAATTATTACATTCTATTAACTTATGTATTTCTAATAATAATGCATATTTATATTAGGTTATATAATTAGGTTATATATAATTAGGTTATATAACCCAATTTATATTAGGTTATATTATTCAGTCATTCCACATTTTTTCTTGTTATTACTTTCATTTTGTTGTATAAAAATGTATACACGAATATTCCCCCTTCTCTTATTTCTATCACTTATTCTAGCTTTTAATCATGTCACCCTTTGTTAAACAACTTTATCTTTCTTTCCTATCTAACTACTAATCATGTCACCTACCTAAAAAGAAAGAGAAGAGAGAGAGAGAGAGAGAAAAGGGAAGGCAAATCAGAACAACAACAGCAAAAAAAGAAATCATCCATCCATCGTCTCTTGCCCGCTTCAATATTTTAATTGCTACGCTTTAAGAAAAGCTGCAATTTATTTATTTATTGGTTCGATTTATATGCCACCCTTTCTCCGGAGACTCAGGGCGGCTTACAATGCGTTAAGCAATAGCCTTCGTACTTTTTGTATATACCTGCTTAGTAGGGCTTTCGCCCCCCCCCCACAAGCGGTGTTCTTTTTTATACAAAGTCAGTTTATTGCCCCCACAATCCGGGTCCAATTCTTCATGTCTCTCTCTTGACAATCAGAATTAAGGTACTCACAACGTTCTTTCATCAGGCTTTTGAAAGATTGCAGAAATGGCAACAACTAGATTTTCGTTTTATCCATGAATTCTAAGTTGGCTACAATGAGGGGCTTCAGAAGTGTCTCGCCAATAATTGTTTCGTGGGCTTTGGAAACAGCCAAGGTGCTGATCTTCCAAGTTGATTTCAGGTTCTAGAAAGGCCATAATCATTTGCAAAGAAGTTAGGAAAGAGTTGGGATTGACAGGAGACCCTCCGTTGGCAAGCAACAAACAACATGGATTCCAGCGTTGAGACTTTCTTGCGTTCTTGCTGCTCTTTGACCTTGCAGTCAAATGTTTGCAAGGTGAAAACCAATCTCGGAGGGCACAAAGACCCCAACAGTTCAGACATGAGCTCCGTGCCTTCTGCTCTATTGCAAAACCTTTATGATGAGGTTTTTGCAAAAGTTGGAAGGTCCCAAGCTCTGCCCTTTCTTGAACACCCACCCCAACTAAAAATGACTTTCCAATGTGGACTCATAACAGCTCCCACCGGTGGCCTTGAGGTGACGTGGCCTCCCCCACCTCTGTTTCTTTGGCGTTTAGATTTTTGCTCTTGTAGGACTTCTATTTTTCTCCCGAGGTGTATTTTCACCAACCTACAAATCTATTGTTCTTTGAGAACTAACCAGGCAATGTATAATATCCAAAATAGCTGAAGAATTCTGTCTTTTCCTTGAGGATAGCTTACAAATGCAGCAAGAACGATCCAGGCATTTTCAGTGGACTCCACCCACACAACATGTGTTTCTTCCTCCGTGTCTGCTCAAGCGAGGGTCCCCTAGGACTCTCTGCAAATTTAATGACGAAAAGAAGATGCCTTGGAAACTTTCTTTTTTCTCTCTCTCTCTAAATGTTCTTATTTGCAAAGCATATCGCCTACACAGGAAAAAGGAAGTCCACTCAGAGAATTAGCTTCCTTTTGAACCCAGGCGTGGGCTTAGCAAAGCAAAAAAATCAGCTTCGCTCTCTGGGTCCAGTTCTGGAGACCCAATGGGAGATTTCCCTATCAAGGAAGCCTCACATGCTTCTGGGCCAGAGGTCCTGCCTTGATTGTCCTCTTCCTTGGTCCTCCACCGGTGCTCTTTCTCCTGGGCTCACATTTCGCTTCTCTCCCTAGTTCGCTCGCAGAGCATGATGGCTGTTGATGCAAAAGGCTCCAGCACTTGGCTTCAGCCCCCCAACCCTCTGGAGCGCCCCTTGAAAACTGGCTGGCTGAAGAAGCAGCGATCCATCGTCAAGAACTGGCAACAGAGGTTCTTCGTGCTGAAGGGGCAGCACCTGCATTATTACAAGGAAGAGGACGACCTGAAGCCCCAGGTACGGTGGGTTCTGGATGTTGATGCCTATTTATGCTGCTGGCGTGATGGAAAGGCTAATGGGGGAAAGAGTTTGTAACCACGGAAGTGCATCAAAAGGCACCGTCTACCTTCTCTAGCCTTACAAAAGAGGAGGCCAATGCGGTTCTCCCGAGCCAGGAACAGAATTAGAGGGACCTTGAATCTCAACCTCCAACTTCTGTTCTGGTTTTCTTCAGTTCAGCTTGACATCCGAACCAGAGAAGAGCTCCTGGTTTTTAGCATTGTGCAATGCTAAATGACTTGAGGGGAGCCAATTACCGATTTTAAAGAGTTGGAAGGGAAAGAATGCAAGGGGGAAAAAAATTGATGGGCTTTTTTAAGCTCTTAAAGCTTTCAAGGCGTTTTGGTTTTGCACCAATTTGGGGGAGTTGAAGAAATCATATTTCAGAAGCCTTTGGATCAGTCTTGACAGAGTTATCTCCGTTTTGTGTTTTCTGGAGACAACTTCTGGTTAAAAGAAGAGCTTGCCCATCTCAAAGAGAGCTGCTTAAATGGCTGGTGCTTGTAGAGGACGATTCATCTAAGATAAAGTTTCAAGAGTTTCTCCTTCGGCTTAAGATGGTTCTGGGCTACATCCAGGGTGCACTATTTAGTCAGATTTTCAGAACTGAGATTCACGATCATGCCCTCCATTCTCAGCTGACGTCCTCCATGCTGCTGGTTGATTCTATTATTTATGTATTTATTTATTTTGTCAAGCATGTATAAGATAACAAATATAAGTATAAACATGATTATGAATACAGGAAATGGGTACAAATTAATGGGGACAGTAGGACAGAGACGGTAGGCACGCTGGTGGGCTTATGCACGCTCCTTAAAGACCTCTTAGGATTGGGGTGAGGTCAACAGTAGACAGTCTAAGGTTAAAGTTTTGGGGGTTTGGGGAAGAAATCACAGAGTCAGGTAGAGCATTCCAGGCATTGACCACTCTGTTACTGGAGTCATATTTTCTGCAATCGAGTGTGGAGCGGTTTACCTTGAGTTTCTATCTATTATTTGCTCGTGTATTGTTGTGGTTGAAGCTGAAGTAGTCATTGACAGGTAGGATGTTGTACCAGATGATTTTGCGTACTACGCTTAGGTCAGACCGAAGGCGGCGTAGTTCTAAGTTGTCTATGCCCAAAATTTTAAGCCTGGTGGCATAAGGTATTCTGTTGTGAGCAGAGGAGTGGAGGACTCTTCTTGTGAATAATTTCTGGACATGCTCAATTGTATTAATATCCGATATGCAATGCGGGTTCCAGGCAGATGAGCTGTATTCGAGAGTTGGTCTAACAAAGGTTTTGTATGCTACTACATCCAGGGTGCAATACTTAGCCAGATTTTCGGAACTGAGATTCACAATCATGCCACCCATTCTCAGCTGATGTCCTCCATGCTGCTGGTTGATTCTAGGTTTGGCATCTCTGGGTTGCAGATTTCCTGCCCCTACTAGATAATCACAAAGAGAAACAGAAATCTCTTAACTCTTTGCTGCCTCCACAAGAAACTAGATCTTTGCCTAAATACCATTTTGCATAATTAGATCGATTGGAATCTAGCAGGACTGCCCTAATCTGATCCTTATCTTTTTCTTCTCTAATGACCTACAACTCTTCTGAGTGGAGGGCAGGATCCCACTTTTCTCAAAAGCTGATGCCATCCTTACTCCCCTGGCCCATGCCGTGTTCAGCTCTTGACTCGGGAGAGCAACCAAGTGTTGAGGAATAGAGCCTGCTCAAACATTTGGCACTTCTAACCCATGGTGGCAGAGGACTTCTTCTCTGTTCTGCTTGAGCATCCTGTTCTCCGTCTCCCTCCCCCTCACTTTGCTTCCTGTCTGCACATTTCTCTTCTCAGAAGTTCGCCCGTGCTCTTCCCTTGCCACTTCAGTCTTACCGCACAGCTCTGCCACCCAGCCCTGCCTGTTTCTGGTTTCCGACAGCCGGAGTCGCTCAACCCATGTTGCTTCCCCTCCTGTTCTGGTCCATCCAGGATCCAAAACACAAGAGCTTGCAAGTTCCCTCAGTTCTCAAGTCACAAGGCACCTTCCTGGCTTGGCCTCATGACTGGACTGATTCATGAGGTGAGCAGCCTCCTTTGTGGCTAAATAGAGAGGGCTGGTTCTTCTTTCTTCTTCTTCTTTCCCCAGAAGAGTCTTGGGATTTCACTAGCGATGGAATAAGCTACCAGTTTTAGCTGTGGACTCTGCTAGCGCTGGCCGGGGGATTCTGGGAGTTGAAGGCCACCCATCTTCAAGCTTCCAAGGTTGAGAAACACTGATCTATATCAATCTATCAATCTATATCTACCATCTCTATCATTCATCTCTCTCTCTCCATCATCGATCAATCTATATCTACCGTAGCTACTTACCTACCTACCTATATCTCTATCAATCAATCTATATCAGTGTTTCTCAACCTTGGTAGCTTGAAGATGGGTGGACTTCAACTCCCAGAATCTGGGAGTTGAAGTCCACCCATCTTCAAGCTTCCAAGGTTGAGAAACACTGGCCTATAAGCTAATCAATAAAGCTAATCAATCAATCCTATGCATTTTTTGCTAGATTTGCACGGGATGTATTAACATTTAATCATTTTAAAGATGGGTTTAATACCCGATGCTCTTGTGCTTTTTAGAGGAATGTGAATTATGAAATGTTTACAGTTGCATTATGCATGTAATCTGATTACTTTATAAAACGAAGACTGTGGTCTGATGACAGGACAGAGAGCCTCGTGTTTTTGACCTTGTTGTGCAACTTTTTGGCTTTAGGGTTCCTTACGACTTCAGGGCTGCACCATCAGAGAAGTGGCTTCTGGGTCCGATGAAGCTGGAAAATTTATCTTTGAAATCATTCCAGGTCAGTAACAAGGAACTGAATTAGAATTTGAGCGAGTCCAGGTGGACTACCAAACGCATGCTTTGATAAACCGCGATTCATTAGTAAGACCACACCTAGAAAACTGCATCCAATTTTGGTCACCACACTATAAAAAAGATGTCGAGACTCTAGAAAGAGTGCAGAGAAGAGCGACAAAGATGATGAGGGGACTGGAGGATAAAACATACGATGAACGGTTGCAGAAACTGGGCATGGCTAGTCTAGTGAAGAGAAGGACCAGGGGAGACAGGATAGCATCTTCCAATATTTGAGGGGCTGCCCCAGAGAGGAGAAAGGGGGTCAAGCTATTCTCCAAAGCACCTGAAGGCCAGACAAGGGACAATGGATGGAAACTGAACAAGGAGAGATTCAACCTGGAAATAAGGAGGAATTTTCTGATTGAGAACAATCAACCCATGGAACAGAAGTTGCCTTCAGAAGTTGTGGGTTCACTGGAAGCTTTCAAGAAGAGACTGGGCTGCCCTCTGTCAGAAATGAAGTAGGGTCTCCTGCCTGGGGAGGGGGTTGGACTAGATGACCTCCAAGGTCCCTTCCAACTCTGTTAATCTAAATCTAATTGCTGGATATGGAATCTGGGCTGAGCAGGAGAGCTGACATAGCCCTTCCCCTTCTTCTGTTGAGAGAAAACGGTGAAATATGACTCCTGTCCTTCGTGTATAATTCAGCAAATTATAATTGTGTGTGTTTGCATAATGCAGTTCGTTGTGGTTTTGTTTAACTACCACCACCCACCACCCGTTTACAGGGCTTTCAGGAGAGCAAACTCGAACTGGGCCAGACTCCTTTGTGCTGATGGCGAATTCTCAGGCTGACATGGAGGAGTGGGTCAAGCTGCTGCGGAGAGTGGTTGGCTCCCCATTAGGAGGTAAGCACAGCCAGAGTCATACAGGGGACACCCAAAGAGCCTCTAGCCTGGCTCCATAATATCCACCCCAACTGGACAGGTCAGAGAACGGATGGCCTTGAATTGCCATGGCAAGAATTTAAGGCCAGACTTTCCAGGGATGAAGTCAAGGGCATGTTGAAAGTTAGGATCTCAGGCTCTCATGGCAGTCATTTGAAGGGCATCTGCGAGGAGCTCTCTCTCTCTCTCTCTCTCTCCTCTCTCTCTCTCTCTCCCTCCCTCCCTCTTCTTCTCCTCCCCTCCTTCCTCCCCCCTCCTCTCCTCCTTCCTCTCCCCTTCTCCTCCCTTCCTTCCTTCCCTCCTCCTCCTTTCCTCCTCTCCTTCCTTTCTCCTTCCCTCCTTCCTTCCTTTCCTCCTTCCTTCTCCCTCCTCCCCCCCCCCCTCCCCCTCCTCCTCCCTTCCTCTCTCTCTCCTCTCTCTCTCTCCTCTCTCCTTCCTTCCCTCCTCTCTCTTCTCTCCTCTCCCTCCCTCCTTTCCTTCCTTCCTTTCCTTCCTCTTCCATCTCTCTCTCTCCCTTCCTTCCTTCCTTCCTTCCCTCCCTCCCTTCTTTTCCTCCCTCCCTCCCTCCCTCTCCTTCCCTCTCTCCCTCCCTCCTTCCTCCTTCTCTCTCTCCATCTCTCTCCCTCCCTCCCTCCCTTCTTTTCCTCCCCCTCCTCCTTCCTCCTTCCCTCCCTCTATCCCTCTCTCCCTCTCTCTCTCCATCTCGCTCTCCCTCCCTCCCTCTGCCCTCTCTCTCTCCCTCCCTTTCCTCCCCCTCCTCTTTCCTCCCTCCCTTCTTTTCCTCCGTCCCCTCCCTTCCTTCCTCCCACCCTCCCTCTCTCTCTCTGTCTCCTCCCTCCCTCCCTCCCTCTCTCTCTCTCTCTCTCTGGGTCGGATGGGCTGTTTTTCGAAATGTGTCGTCTTGCACAAAATGAGCAGGACCTGGTTAAAAAGAGCCCTGGATTGACTCCCTTGTAGACTTTCAAGACAGGAGTTATTTAACTGCATAGGTTCCATTGTGGAGCCATCTACCTGTGGACGAGGTGCCTTCTCCGATTCGGGAGGCTTGTAAGAAGAGACTGGGCAGCTGCCTCCCACGGAGAGTCCGGTTGGTTTTCTTGCAAGCTTTGATGATATTTAACTTTTTATTTTATTTTTATTTATTATTTTTTTTTATGCTGCCCCTCACTGAGATAATGGCCGTGGGCAGCTTACAATATACTTTTATTATTTCACCATTAGTATACAATTGAAATTTGAAATTGGGGCGTGGTATTGTTGTGTCTGCAGATTGGTTAATGCTGGGGATTTGAGGGCAGGCAGGGAGGAAAAAACAGTCCTCCCTCCCTTCTCTCCTCCCCTCCCTCTCTCCCTTCCTCCCTTCCTTCCCTTCTCTCTCTCTTCTTCCCTCCTCTCTCCTCCCTCTCTCCCTCCTTTCCTCCCTCCCCTCCCCCCTCCCTCTTTCCCCCCCTCCCCTCTCTCCCCTCTCTCTCTCCTCCCTTCTTCCTCCCCTCCCTCCCCTTCCTCCCTCCCTCCTTCCTTCCCTCCCCTTCCTTCCTTCCTCCCTCCCTCTTCCTTCTCTCTTCCTTCCTTCCTTCCTCCCTCCATCTCTCTCTCTCTCCCCTCCCTCCTTCCTCCCTCCCTTCTTTTTCCTCCCTCCCTCCCTCTGATCCTTCCCTTCCCTCCTCTCTCTCTCTCTCTCTCTCTCCTCCCTCCCTCCCTTCTTTTCCTCCCCTCCTCCTCCCTCCCTCCCTCCTTTCCCCTCCCTCTTCCTCTCTCCATCTCTCTCTCTCCCTTCCTCCTTCCTTCCCTCCCTCCCTTTTTTCCTCCCTTCCTTCCTCCCTCTCTCTCTCCCTTCCTCCCTTCCTCCCTCTCTCCATCTCTCTCCCTCCCTCCCTTCTTTTCCTCCCCTTCCTCCTTCCCTCCCTCCTCTATCCCTCCCTCCCTCTGCCCTCTCCTCTCTCTCTCTCCCTTCCTTTCCTCCCCCTCCTCTTTCCTCCCTCCCTCCCTTCTTTTCCTCCATCCCTCCCTTCCTTCCTCCCACCCTCCCTCTCTCTCTCCGTCTCTCTCTCTCTCTCCCTCCTTCCTTCCTTCCAGTGGTCTTTGGACAACAGCTGGGGGACACCATGATGTATGAACAGCGATTTGGGCAGCATCAGGTTCCTATCTTGGTGGAGACGTGTGCAGAATTCATCCGGAAGAATGGCCTGAGTGAGGAAGGTGTTTTCCGACTGCCTGGCCAAGACAATTTGGTGAAGAAACTGCGGGATGCATTCGATGCCGGAGCGAGAGACCTTCGTTTGACCAGTAGGTGGTCCTTTTCTCAAGCTTGCAATGATAAAGACAGGTGAGGCTTCCACAACCAGGGAGCCCCCAGTTCCAGAATTCCCCAGTCAGCATTGCCAAGACTTTTAGCAAAGTTGAAATCCATTTCAACTCGGAGGGAGCCCAGGTGGGAAAGGCTAGGCTGGAAGTTCCCTTTAGCCAATCAGCCTTCAGTTCAAACCCAAAGGTGCTTTTTCAAGAGGCGACTGAAACTTCAAAGGTTTTCCTTTGAAGATGTTTCACTTCTCATCCGAGAAGCTTCTTCAGTTCTCCTTTTTGTCGTTCTCCTCGGATGGAGACCTGAGACCTGGAGGACTGAGAATCTCCATAGACAACACATTACTAATTTAACAAATTGCAGTGAATCACTTAACCACGGTGATAAGACAGGTCGTAAAATGGGACAAAACTCACTTAACAAATGTCTCGCTCGGCCACAGAAAGTTTGGCCTCAATTGTGGTCCTAAGTCGAGGTCTACCTGTGGATGAAAGTGGAATGATGACTTCCTGTGATGTCTGGCTCATCTTATCTTTTTTATTGATTGATTGATTGATTGATTGATTGATTGATTGATGGTTTATTTATTTAATTTACAGAGACACGGATGTGCACACCGTGGCTTCTTTGTTTAAGCTTTACCTACGAGAACTTCCTGAACCGGTCGTTCCTTGGAGCCAATACGAGGAGTTTCTCTTGTGTGGTCAACTTCTAACGTCGGATGAAGGCAAGGTATTACAAGCCCAGATACTTCTCAAAACGTTCATGAAGATCCTCCTGAAGTTGCTCCTCCCACTCTGATGATATCATGAGATCGCCCAAAGGGGGGTCCAAGAAAGAGGCCAAAGTCCGTCTCCCTACCACCCTAGCTTGACCACAGGCTGAACTCCAGTAACTTAAATTTTGTTGCTCGTTGCAAAGTTGTATCTGACCCATCACGATTCCATGGACCACGTTCCTCCAGGCCTTCCTGTCCTCTACCATCCTCTGGAGTCCATTTAAGCTCATGGCTGACTGCTTCAGTGACTCCATCCAGCCACCTCGTTCTCTGTCGTCCCCTCCTTCTTTTGCCCTCCATCGTTCCCAGCATTAGGCTCTTCTCCAGGGAGTCCTTTCCTCTCATTAGGTGGCCCAAGTACTTGAGTTTCATCTTCTCATGGTCCAACTTTCACAGCTTAAATAAATAAGCTTTATTTAAGTAACTTAAATAAAGTTGGCATTTTAGTGTTTAATCCATGTCTACTTTCCAGCAACACCCCGATTTGATTGCTGTTTGTCTCCTTCCATCCTTGAGTTGGAGAACATGAAGGGGTCTCAAGGTGGGAGGCTGAACCTGGCAAAGGGATCAAAAACCATGGAATTTCAGGAGAGGGGGCCTAGCTTTTTTTCTCCCCTCCCCACAACTTATACAGGTAGTCCTTGACTTACAAACACAAATGAGCCCAGAATTTCCACTGCTAAGCAAGACAGTTGTGAAGTGAGTTTTGTTCCATTTTATGACCTGTCTTGCCAGAGTTGTTGTTGTTGTTGTTGTTGTTGTTGTTGTTGTTGTTGTTGTTGTTATTATTATTATTATTATTATTATTATTTATTAAATTTATATACCGCCCTACTCCCGAAGGACTTAGGGCGGTGAACAGCCAAAAGATAAAATACACATAGTACAAACGTTAAAAAACATTTAAAATACATTAAATACTTTGGCCCAAAACAAATTTAAAACACCCCAATTTATAAGACAAATTTTAAAAGCAATTTAAAAGGGAAAGTTAGGCCAGGTCAGCCTGCTGGAAAGAAATGTTTTGAGGGCACGGCGGAAAGCGCGCAGATCCGGGATCCTCCGTATCTCCGGGGGGAGGGGAGCTCGTTCCAGATGGCAGGTGCCCCCACAGAGAAGGCTCTCCCCCTGGGGGCCGCCAGTCGACATTGTTTGACCGATGGCACCCTGAGGAGCCCCTCTCTCTATGGGAGCGTACTGGTCGGTGAGAGGCTACTGGTGGCAGAAGGCGGTCTAGTAGATACCCCGGGTCCTCAGCCATGGAGCGCTCTAAAGGTGGTAACCAAAACCTTGAAGCACACCCGGAAGACCACCGGAAGCCAGTGCAGCTCGCGCAGGAGGGGAGTCACATGGGAGCACCATGTCGCTCCCATAACCACCCGCGCGGCCACATTCTGGACCAGCTGGAGCCTCCGGGTGCTCCTCGAGGGGAGCCCCATGTAGAGAGCATTGCAGTAGTCCAGGCGGGAAGTGACGAGGACATGAGTGACCGTACTTAATGAGTCCCGATCCAGAAAGGGACGCAACTGGCGAATCAGGCGAACCTGATAAAATGAATCACTTGCGGTTGTTAAGTTAGTAACATGGTTCTTAAGTGATTCTGGTTTCCTCGTTGACTTTGCTGGTTAGAAGTTTGCAAAAGGTGATTAGATGATCCTTTAATTAAAACCATCCTCTTCTAGGGTCACCCACAACTAGTGAAGCAGCTGGCACATTTACCCCCGGACAACTATAACCTTCTGAGTTACATCTGCCGGTAGGTTCTTCTTTCGAGACTTTGCTGTTTTCAGCCGAAGGGCAAAAGACGTTGCTGCTGCTCAGATCTCCTCTTGGAATTGATCCTAAATCGCCGATCTTAAGACATGTGTGATTTTTAACTAGTAGCACCTCAACTTTTCTGAATTCATCTGTTTTAAGGCTCATAGCCCCTGCTACTAACCGGTCATTTCCTTGCCTTGTAAATTACAACTCTCTCTTCTACACTATTGGAAAACAGTCCTTTTTCCATTTGTATATTCCACCCATTACTTTAAGACAGTGTTAAAGCACAGGGGTATTTGCAGATATAGTCAAAAAAGATGGGGCCCATGGTGGTGAAAACCTCAGAACATAAAGGACCATAGATTATAACCATACAGTAGATGCAACCCTAAAACTGCGGTCTACTGGCTGAATCATTCTGTAGTTGTTGCGATACACAATGCATTCTAACACAGGGGTCTCCAACCTTGGCAACTTTTAAGACTTGTGGACTTCAACTCCCAGAATTCCTCAGCCAGCAACCTTGGCAGCTTTAAGACTTGTGGACTTCAACTCCCAGAATTCCACAAGTCTTAAAGTTTCCAAGGTTGGAGACCCCTGGTCTAACACGAATTCCAACATTGAGACATGTCCATTTTGTTTGCAATTTTGCTCTATTGGAAGGTTCATAATGGGATGTTCTTCTAGAGAAGGTCTCTGCTTCCTGCTTCCGGTTTCTACCCCTTTCTTACCTGCTCCTCCCTTGCAACTTACGAGCCCAGGTGATGACTTTGGACCCTTCCGATTCCAACAGGTTCCTGCATGAAGTCCAGCAGAGTTCTGACACCAACAAGATGAGTGTGGAGAACCTGGCAACCGTGTTTGGGGTGAACCTCATCCGGCCCCAGATGGAAGATCCAGTGACGATTATGAGAGGTGAAATTGGAACCTGCTCCTTGCACAGGGATTTTTGACTCTGTTGTGGGTCTCTAAGGGGCCAGAATGTAAGATTGCTTGTTTTAATGTCCTGATCACTTCCGGTTGGACAAACCGATTAGGCCTAAAAATTTAAATTTTCAAGTGATTGTGCTACACTGGGACCGTCCTAAATGTCAGTCAGTTGCCCAGCATCCAAATTTTGATTGCATGACTCTTGGGATGCTGCAATGGTCATAAGTGTGAAAAATGGCCATAAGTCACTTTTTTCAGTGCCATTGTCGCTGATGGTCACTAAGCGAATTCTTGTAAGTTGAGGACTACCTGTAACTTAGAACTTTTGGTTGCACAGTCCACTTTTGGGTGAGCGCGCCAACCCTCTGGAATGCCTTACCCACCGAGCTCCGAACAGCTCCCGACCTCTGCTCCTTCCGCAAGGACCCAAAGACGTGGCTTTTTAAACAACTCATCTTTAATTATTTTAATTTTTAATTATTGCTGTGTCCTGTGTTTTTAAATTGGCTGTACACCGCCCTGAGTCCTTCGGGAGAAGGGCGGTATAGAAATAAAATTATTATTTATTATTATTTATTTATTTATCTGATCTGCGGGGTGTTTTTAATTGGTTTTAATATGGGTTTTAAATTGGGGGATTTTAATTATGCTAAATTAATTATATTTTTAAATTGTTCTTCGGTTTTTAACCTTTGTGAGCCGCCCCAGTCCTTCGGGAGAAGGGCGGCATATAAATTTAACTAAATAAAATATAAATAAATAAATAAATCTCCTTCCAGAACCAATTTCTCCAGACCGGCCTGAGGAATTGCTCCCAGCTCTCAATAGCCTGGTTGTAGGAAACGGAGCTGTGAACCTCTTCCATTTACACCCCGTTGTGTGTTAAAAAGCCTGTTGTGCTTTCCTTGCTTCTCCCACAGGGACTCCCCAGATTCAGAAAGTGATGACCACAATGATCAGTGACCACGAGAAGCTCTTCCCAGGGGTCAAAGATGCAAGGCCTTCTCCGCCTCCCTCCGAAAGCAGTTCCACCAAAGCTCCGGTGCTTCGGAGTTCCGTCGGTTGGGACGCTGTACAGAGGCCATCCATGACCTGGAGAGACAACAAGAGCCTGTTGCAAATTGTGAGTGCCTGCTGGGCTTTTTAATCCTGTGATTCACCTGGAAAAGACCCATGAGTGCATCTGCCCATGAAAGCAAAAAACCTGATTTTTGTGTCCGTATTGAAATTGCGTAAAACGCTTTTTCAAAAAAGCACTTATTTCTGAGATTTCAGTTCCTTCGTTTGGCCTACAGGGGGCGCTGAAGGAAGCTAGCGAAAACTAAGAACAGTGAAATTACTATTTTAACAACAGCTTCAAGCATGAAAACTTAAGACAGCGTTCAAAATCCTGCCTGAAAATAAAACCTAAATAAATAAATATGTTTTTATTGACGGTTGCAAAATAGCAAAGGGAGCTATTCCAGGATAAATTTTCACGGACATGTCTGGAAAAAAAAAAATTATTTTTAATGCAACGTCCTCTTGATGTTGCCTTTGGATCCCTCTAAGGCAGCCTAAAGTCAGCTTTAGCTGTTGGCCATTTTAAGATAGAGTTTGGTTCTCTTCCAACACTGTTTTGGCCACGGTTGAAGAGGCTCCATCAACAGTGGATTTTAAATGGGAATTCCCAGGTCCCAGTGGTCAAGATTGAGATGACACTGGTGGCGGATCATGGCTTCCATGATCATTTGGGCTTCGACAGAGACTAGATTTCTGGCCTCCGCAGAGAGATCGGTCTGCATAATACCTGGCAGGAGAGCAGTCTGCAGAGTAATCAGATGGGGGAATGTCTATGGTGATTCCCCATCATTCAGATTATGGTTGTCCCAAAGGTGCTTTTTCCAAAAGGTATATGGACTTTCTAGTTTTTTTTTTCCCCTTTGAAAACATTTCGCTTCTCATCCAAGAAGCTTCTTTAGTTCTAATTGACTGGTGGGGAATGGAAGGATTTAAAGGGACGGTGTCAGGGCTCCAAGCAAACAGAACTCAGAGGCAAGAGAATTCCTCAAAGAATCGTTTTATTGGATATATCATATTGGCACAGGCTGGTGAAAACCGACTCTGAATGTTCACCTAATTAAAAATAAAAGTTTTCCTCCTTCCCCAAACAATCAGTCAGGTGGAACGGACAGATGGGGGAGTGGTGAGGTGAGGCCCCTACGTCAGGGGTGAAATGCTCCCGGTTCGGACCGAATCGCCCGATCCGGTAGCGATGGCAGCGGGTGGTTCGGAGAAGTAGTAGCAAAAATCCCTGCCCCCCCCATGCCCAGCTGAGCCACACGATCATCAGAGGCTCTTTTTTTTTTAACTTTTAAAAACATTTTTTCTACAACCTCTTCCGACAAAAAAAATGCTTTTAAAAGTAAAAAAAAAAAGCCTCTGATGATCGCGCGGCTCAGCTGGGATCATCAGAGGCTTTTCAAAGCATTTTTTTTCTGCAACCTCTTGGCCGAAGAGGTGGTTAAAAAAAATGCTTTGAAAAATCTCTGACGATCCCAGCTGAGTTGCCTGATCGACAGAGGTTTTTCAAAGCATTAGAAAAAATGCTTTGAAAAGTTAAAAAAAAAAAAACTGGCCACGCCCACCCAGTCACATTACCTCCCCACCAAGCCACGCCCACAGAACTGGTAGTAACAGATTTTACATTTCACCACTGCCCTACGTGTTAATTGGGGCATGAAACTCAGCAGAGCTGCTTGGTTGCATCCAATAAGCCTGCGTTCTCCAACATTCTTGGTTTTATTTCCAGAAAGACGATCTCGAAGCTTCCAACTCCAAATTAAGCGACGGTTTGGCTCCATCGGCAGAAGATGAAGGAGAACCTCAGTCTAGGGAGACCCAGGCCATGCGAAAGAGGAC